TGGATTATGTTGATCGTTTTTCTAATGTTGAACCATCCTTGCATCCCTGATATGAATCCCACTTGATCATGATGTATTATCTTTTTGATGTGTTGTTGGATTCTGTTGGCTAGGATTTTGTTGAGAATTTTTGTATATATGTTCATAACAGATATTGGTCTATAATTGATCATAAAATTTAAAGAGAACTTTTATTAAAATGTGTAAAACTAAGCACAGACAGGAAAAAGATATTTAAAAAACAGATACCTGATAAAGCACTTGCATTCTAAATATACAACAAACTCTTTTAAAAATCCAGTAATAAAGAAACCAAGAACCTAATCTAAAAATGGGTAAAAGATCTCAAATAAACTTCAGATACAGGGGCAGCAAATAAAAACATGAAATACTCAACAAAATGTGTCATTAAGGAATGCAAATAAAAAAATGCAATGATATACCAGTACACACTTATCAAAATGTCTAAAATCCAAAAAAAACAATAATAAATGCTGGCAAGAATGTGGAACTCTTATTCATTACTGGTGAGAATTCAAAACAGCACAGCCACTTTGGAAGACAGTTTGGCAGATTCAAGTTCAACAGACACTTATCATGAGATCAGCAATTGCATTCCTTGGTGTTTACCTAAACGGCTTGAATATGTTAAGTCCACAAAAAACCTACACACAAATATATACAGAAGTTCAGGGGAAGGAGAGGAGTAATGAATAGGTGAGCACAGGACATTTTAAAGGAATACTATTCTGCAACATATGGTAATGATAGATACATGACAACATCCACTCATCAAAACCCATCAAACCACAGGACACAATGTACGAACCCTAAGGTAAAACCCAGACTTTAGTTAATAATGTATCAATATTGGTGTAACAAATATAATACACTAATGCAAAACATTAGTAAGAGGACAAATTGTGTTCAGAGGAGAGAGGAGGCGTAGGGGAACTCTTTACTTTCGGCATATTTGCTATGAACCTAAAGCTGCTCAAAAAATAAAGTATGATTAAAAAAAAAAAAAAACTAAATAGCACACAATTTAAGTAAAACTCAGAATTCAATTAAACATTTTTATACAATGTATAAATTTCCCTTAACCACAATGCATAATTAATGTTAGAGCTACTATTCGTTAAATTCATCAGATTCCTAGTAATAACTTATATTAACTTAGAAAGGTCATAAGTCAGGCTGCTAAACAAAGAAAAAGGTGGCATCTTTTCAGTTTAACTTGAGTGTCTCTAATGAGAAACTTAAAATGGTAATGCTGTTGTTAAGTGCTGTCAAGTCAGCTCCAACTCACAGTGACCCAGTACAAGGTTTCTTAGGAATGACTAGTAGGTTTGAACCAGCGACCTTGTAGCTAGCAGTCCAGTGCTTATCCTATAGCATGCCAACAAACTGGCCAAGAACAAAAACTTTAGCTATTCTGTAATTACTCAGAATATGTAAGGGGACAGACATACTGAGGGAGCAAAATCTAGGAAAAAGAGCACACATTTTAAAAAGTATTACATTCTGACACAGCAATTTCTGTCCCAGAAGTTTATTCTACTGATAGATATTCTTACAAATGGTTAAAATGAAGTACGCACAAGGTTGATCACTGCAGTATTGTTAGTTAATAGCAAGAGGTTGGAAATGTTTTATCAGTGAGAGACTGGCTAATGTAGTTCATATACAACCAAACGCTCAGCTACCTTTCCATTTCTCAAATGCAGACGGTGTGTTTAGTACGCTATCTAATGCAGCCCTATGTACATGAATTTATCTACAGAGAACCTGGGAGAGCTGAAATTCAGGGGGATTGCCTTGTTTTCACAGGTCTCATAAGTTTTTCATCACTCTCTATTATTTCTATCACTCTCTATTTTTGAGAAATATTTGTCTCTGACAAGTTTCCACCTTATGCAGATTCTAGCTCTCACAGGTTTTATAAAATAGATTAACAAAAAGTTACTAAAACTGTTGCTCCCAGGAAAGGAAACAGCATTTGAGGCAGGGGTGTTTCAGTTTAAATACTTTGAACATTTTGATACTTGTACTACCTGTTCAAAACAATATTTTAAGTAAAATGTTAAAGAGTTATAGGTTAGGTTTTGTTGTTGCTGTTGTTATTAAGTGGTGTAGAGCTGGTTCCGATTCATAGCGACCCTGTAAAAAGTTTTCAAGGAGCAGCCGGTGAGTTTGAACCACCGACCTTGCAGTTTAAACCAACCTCACTTATGGTTCCATGCTTTATACTACAGTGACAAACTAGAACTTAACTATTCTGTATGACTCAGAAAAATCTTTTTTAATTTTCTTATCTTGATGGTACTAAAGAAAAAAATCTATGGCAAAAGAAAACTAAACACAATCATAAAAGAAAACAGACTTTCAAATGTAACATTTCATTTTGTTTAATGTTAATAAAATACATGAGTGAAGTTTATTGACCAACTAAAGGAGAACATATCTAAGCGTATACATAACCATGGTTATAAAACATTACAATTTGCCAAAGATGCAACCATAGTGGCCACATCATTAAAAATAAGGAACCTTTAGTTTAAGAGTGTTTACAGGTAAAATAGAAAATAAGTTGGCAATATGTATCAAGAGTCTTTAGAACGCTCTTACTTTGACCATAAACTTCTCCTTCAAAACTTTATCTTCAAGGGCAGTTCTACTCTATCCTCCAAGGTCTCTAGGAGGGAGTTCCTGGTGAGGGAACAGTGCACACAACTTGAGGGGCTCATTATGGAGTGAGGGAGAGAGACAGAGCTGGAAAAGGAGCCGTGTGTCTTCTAGGGGTTAAACGTCCCACCCCTGTGAGAGATGGCAGTCAAAAGTGAGTACTGTTCTTAGAGATGGAGCGGCTGGGAACTCCAGACCCAGAGAGGGAGAGGGACTGTGTGATGATGACCGGGAGGCATGGAGAGGATTGTAACCGTGGCAATGAAACGATACACGATAGGATGAATGTAAAGCTAATATTCTCCCATGTAAAGAAACGATACACGATAGGATGAATGTAAAGCTAATATTCTCCCATGTAAACTATCTCATAATTCACAATAAAACATTCAAAAAAAATGTATCTTCAAGAAATAATCAGAAATCCAGTGGAATATTTATAACAACATGTTGTTGTGTGCTGTCAAGTCAGTTCTGACTCATAGTGACCCTGTATGGGGTTTCCAAGAGCAGCCAGTGGGTTTGAACTGCCAACCTTGTGATTACCATCTGTCCAGTGCTTATCCTACAGTATCCCACCAGAGCTGTACATCTTTACAGGAGCAGAAAGCATCATCTTTCTCCCATGGAGTGACTGATAGATTCAAACTGCTGACCTTGCAGTTAACAGCCCAGCTCATAATCCACTACTCTACCAGGAATGTAAAATGGTATAGCCGTTGTAGAAAATGCGGTGGTTCCTCAAAAAATTAAAAATAGTAGTTGTTGTTAAGTGCCATCGAGGAGTGGCTGGCGAGTCTAAGCTGCCAACCTGCATTTCAAACAACCTTGCAGTTCAAATGACCTTGAGGTGCAGTGTTCATCATATAGAATCAAACCAGGACTCCATGTACATTCTTAATTACCAAAATATTAAAACAATCTAAAAGCCCAACAGAAAATAAATAAACAAGATGTGGTACATACATGAAATGGAATACTACTTAGCCAATAACAGAAATGAAGTCTTGATACAGTACATTGTTGTTAGGTACCATGGAGTCAGTACCGACTCATAGCAACCCTATGCACAATAATAGAATGAAACACTGCCTAGTCCTGAGCCAACCACAATCATTGCTACACCTGAGCCCAGCGTTGCCACCACTGTGCCCATTCATTTTGCTGTGGGCCTTCTTCTTTTTCTCGACCCTCAACCTTACCAAATATGAATATCATTTTCCAGTGACTGGTCCCTCCCAATAATATATCTGAAGTATGAGAGACGAAGTCTGGCCATCCTTGCTTTCAAGCAGCATTCTGGCTGTACTTCATCAAACACAGATCTGTTTGATCTTTTAGCAGTCTTTGGTATTTTCAATATTCTCCTCCAACAACATTAACTCAAATGCATCAATTCTTCTACAGTCTCCTCATTCATTGTCCAACTTTCGCATGAATATAAGGTTACTGAGAAAACCTTGGCTTGGGTCAGGTGCACTTTAGTCCTCAAACTGGCATATTTGCTCTTCCAACATTTTGTAGAGGTCTTGTGCAGCAGATTTGCCTAATGCAATATGTCGTTTGATTTCTTGACTGCTGCTGCCACGAGTGTTGATAGTGGATCCAAGCAAAATGAAGTCTTCAAAGACTTCAATCTTTTCTCCAAATATATGGATGTTGTTTACTGCTCCAGTGGTAAAGATTTTTGTTTGCTTTACACTGAGACACAACCCAGAGCGAAGACGGTGGTCTTTGATCTTCATCAGACAGTTATTTAAGTCTTCTTTGCTTACAGCAAGCAAGGTTGTATCATCTGCATATTGCAGGTTGTTAATGAAGCTTCCTCTAATCCTGATGCCATGTTTTTCTTCATATAATCCAGTTTCTCAGATTATTTGCTCAGCATACAGACTGAGTAAATATGGTGAAAGAATACAACGCTGGCACACACCTTTCCTAATTTTAAATCATTCGGTGATTTCATCCTCATATCCCCATTTCCATTTATGTTTAACTGAGACACATTCTGCAATAGATACTTAATATTCACTCTGCCAGCAGTTAAGTAGTTAAGCCTAAGGAGCCAGATTCCGTAAATTCAAATCTAACCAGATCCTATGCCACCTACTAGAAGGTATGTGTGTTAAGGCTAAACACTACAAACTGTGAGCTATGTTGCAACAAATAACAAAATCTGCCACCTCAGTATTTAACTACTGACCTATTAACAGTAACATTTAAAGTTATACATGCCATTAAAACAAATCCAAACTTACCAAATGCTGGAGTATAATATGAGTCCTTTTGAATGAATTAAATCTGAAACAAAAAATGGAATACAATGAGCACAGTGAGCTGTCATGTCAACTTAAAAATACATTATTTTTCCCTTTAGTTTCTTTTGAAAGGTATTACAACAGTGGTACGATTGGTTTCTATTCACCTGGAGGCTCAGGAAATAGAATGTGTGGCTAATTTACACCGTGAACAGCAGCTGCCTTTTTCATGAGACCAGAACTGGATGATGCTCGGCTACTATTACTGAACATTTTGATAAAGGATTCTGTAATAGAATCCTGATCAAAAAGGAGAAAATGCAGAACAGAATTTCAAATTCTCATGGACTCCAAACTTTATAGAATCATGTAGACTAGATGAACACAAGAAACTATTGCCTTGAAATCATCTTTAAACCTTAAACCAGAAATATCCTCTGAAGTCTTCTTAAAACTAAACACACAAGGAAGGAGCATTACACACCACAGCAGGTGCCCTGGTCCAGTGGCTGCTACAATGGGACTGTCAGTGCTGTTGCTGCTGGCCTTGCACACAGCACTGTACTTCCACATGGGCCAGACCAAGAAGCAATGCTTCATGGAGAGATGGAACCCCTGACAAGATCATGGTTATCAGGAATTACTACCGTACTCAAGTGTGGGCTAAGCAAACAGCGATTTTCCTGTCCTCAGCACCTGGTTTGGGGATGTATTATGTGGCAGTGAAGGACCCTGAGGAGAAGGTGATGCTGTCCCAGCAGGAAGTCTCACAGGGCCACTTTACTTTCATGTCCCATGCTCCTGGCAAACCTCCGATCTGCCTGCACGACAACTCTACCAAGATGGCTCTCTTTGCTGGTGGCAAACCATGTGTACACCTACACATCCAGGTTGGGAACACCCGGAGACTGCTGACAAGGATAAACCGCCAGAACTGCAGCTACGAGCCCACCAGCTGCTTGATTAGGTAGAGCAGGTCCAAAATGACCAGGGATATCATGAACAATACTTCCATCTGACCAGCAAGATGACCAACCAGAGGGTCTTGTGGTGGTCCACTGGTCACACTGCCATCCTCATTTTCACTAGCATCTGGCAGATGTATCATCTTAAAAAACTTCTCTGAGGCCAAGAAGCTGGTGTAATGCCCTCTTCCATACGACCCTTCCCTTCAACTCAATACCTTGCCACCTAATACTTTATCCATTTGGATTTCAAAGGGAAAAATGATGGGGGAGGGGGTAATATATATACATATTCATCCCACACAGGACCCATCAAAACCACCATTCAAATAAATCTCACTTGTTAACACCAGTTCTTAAGAATACAGGACAAAGCTTTCAAAATGCTGTCTTAGGGTGCTGTCTTAAGATTTGTGAAGAGCCTGAATTGACCCAGACCAAGTCTTGCTTCTTTTACATCCAGCAGTTTCCCTTTGTCCTTTCACAAAATTAATAACTAAAAAGTCTCTTCCTCTACTCTACCCATCTGTGTCTGCAGTAGGTGACTGGAGGACCCTCCCAAGAAGGCCCTGCCTCACTACTCCCTAGTCAGTCCTGAGTTCATTCAGGCACTTTCTGGATGTAAATGAGGGGGATGGGGGGTGGGCAGATCATTTGCCCCAGAGAATTGCATTTTTTTTATACATTAGAACCTTTTTGATAAATCATAGTTTTTCCTTCTAGGTAAAACACTACTACTATTGGTGTGAATAGCTGCATTATGTTTATTCACACATTTCCCATAACAACCGTAACAGTTCACCGGTCCATGGGTTAGAGAGCGGCTCTTGGGTTAAGACATCACAGCTACTTGAGAAGCAAAGGCAGAACCAAACAGAACATTCTAGACACTTAGGAGTTCCACTGACTAGAGCCTGGTCAAAGTAAGAGGTAAGGTGATAACAGTTACAGAATGCAATTTTCTGCTAGCTCTATATCAGCCTACCTAGGTGTAATGTTTTCTTCCTAAGGACCAGATTTGATTCTTTATGCAGATTTTCCAGTGAAATAACATGTGTTATTAGTATAAAAAAATGCATATACCCATTCCTCACCTATCAACATGGTTAGGTTCCAAAGACCAGTCAGTATGCTAAAATCCAGGTTGCATACAAATAGGGGACTTTTTTCCTATTGTCAGACCATCCATTTATCCAATAATTTTAATTTTTTAAAAAAAAGCTGTAGGATAAGCACTCCACTACAAGGTCAGTTTTAATAGCAAGGCTGGAGTTCAAACTCACCAGCCATTCCTCAGAAACCCTACACAGGGTTGCTATCAGTCAGAACCGACTTGTTGACACTTAACTACAATATGATTTGCTGATGTAAATCACAGTCAAGAGTCTCTGTGGAGGAGGAGGCCATAAAACTGGAAGATACAGACTGGGTGGCTGGAGAGTTCTGGGCCTAACCACTTGCTCCTGCACTGGGTCAGAGCTTCCATCTTGGAGCTGCCTTCCAGCCCTGCAGGCCATGTCCAGGATCCTGGCGCCTGCTCTGCCCTCTGGGCCTGGCGAGCCACCTTTGCTCACAGCTTTCTGTGCGGTGGCTGGGAGCCTGGCCACACGCCAGGTCCCACAATGGGCTTCAGACCCAGTTCACTCACTCTTGAATGTCATGAAAATTACATGCATTTCTTCTTAAATTCTCTCTAATGTCTCTTTCTTTCCTTCCTTTCAGGCCCACAGTAATTTTGAGATGCAGACCTCAAGGTGCATAGGAGCTGAGATCCCAGAACAGAGCTGCTGGCTCCTCCACAGAGGGGACAGCAGGGAGCAGAAGGGAGCAGAGGGTGCAGGGCACCATGGCCCAGCCTCCTGGAGACCGCCCAGAGACATTGGAGGACAAGGACAGAGAGAGAGGACATTCTGTTCTGCCTTGCCTGCTGCTCGTTAATGTGCAAAATAGTTAACAGATTGTTCACTAGTGTTGCATATGCAAAATGTCAGATAATAAGGCAGTGAGGAGTAGATGCAATCACTTAGTTTAGTTTAACTGGTGGTGGCTGTGTGTCGTGGAGTCGGTTCCAACTCATAGTGACCCTGTACAGAGTTTCCGAGGCTGTAAATCTTTACAGGAGCAGAACCCCTCATCTTTCTCCTGCAGAACAGCTGGTAGTTTCGAACTGCTGACCTTGCAGTTCCCAGTTAACTAGTAAGAATTATCTGCCCTTGGCTATCTAAAATGGAGGTGGGGGGGGCTATAAAGGCACAAAGTGGGTGGCTTACAAGTTTTCAAGAGCGAGTTTAGTTTTAGAGTTTGCAGGGGAAAGTAGAATCCCCACTGAATAGTTTTCATCTTTTCTAGATGGGTCTGGTGAAAGGAGATGGGGATAGGATTATTTGATTCAATATAATTGTTATCATGACTAATTGTGATTGTCACAACTATAAAGGTAGACGTTGTGTAACAAAAAGGGGAGAATTGTTACTCTTACATTCCAGCAACAGAGGACCCTAGGACGGTCAAAAGACAAGAGCATGAACAGAACTTGGGCTCCTAATTCTGTTCTGAGAAGCACTGACACCAGAGATGGAGGCAGAGGTGATGGCATGGAGAGATACAGCAGCTGAGGACTCTGGACTCATGGAAAGAAAAAGGCTGTGTGCTGGTGGGCAGGAGGCTGGCTTGCAGAATGTACCCTTTGTTTAAGCAATATATATTCCTGTGTATTTTTGTGTACATCAAAAAATAAAATAAAAGAGGGAACAGAGGCAAACACTGTTAGCCAATGATGCATGGAGGGGACTGTAATCATAATCTATCAAAATATGATAGGATGAGTACAAAACCAACATTCTCCCATGTCAACTATCATTCAATTCATAATAAAAGCTTTAAAAAAAAAAAAAAAAGAACAACAATCTGCCTTGAGCTCTGTGCTCTATTAAGATCTACATGGGATCAAATTGACAATAGCAACTCAGAAAATTAGAAAGGCACTTAGGAGGCAGTTAGTTTATGCTAATGGAGAACAACTTGGAAAAGGAGAGTGAGAACGGTGATACAACGTGAAGAATATCATCAAAGTCACTGAAATGAAAACCAGAAATCGGGGAACTGGTATACCTTTAGCTACGTATATTCTCAACAAAAGTAAAAATTAAAAAACATTATAAAGAAAAAGGTTTTTAAAAAGTTTCCTAAAAATTCGATGACATTCTCATTTATTTTTATATGCAGAATGTCTGCATTCTCAGACATTGTTGATAAATGCATTCATTGCCTTTCTCATAGGCAGTCTGGAAATACAGAGCCACAACCTTTAAAATGATCAGGCTTATAAGCCTTATAGTAGTAGCTGTTATCGCTGTTTAGTGATGCCAAGCCTGTTCAACTCATAGCAACCCTGTATACGGTTTCCGAGGTGCAGTGGTGGGTTTGAACTGCCAACCTTACAGTTCAGACCTTATTGTCCAGTACATCATCCTACAGCACCACACCAGGACGCCAATACTAATAATTACAGAAGTTTTTTAAACTAAGGAAAGCTTGGAGATACAATCAACGTATGATGTCTGAAGATGATGCAACACTTAGGGAAACCATTAACAATATGAAAGTCCTACCAATAGGGTAATCTTTTTAAATTATGTCAATTATTTTTTTAAAAGTCACTGTGTCACTCTACCTTGTTAAAAGTATTTAAACACTACTTATGATAGTGGAGTCCTGGTGTGGCAATGTTGGATAAGCACTAGGCTGCAAAGTCACTTTGAACTTCAAGATCAGCAGTTCAAATCTACCAGCTGATCCTCAGAAACCCTATACAGGGTCGCTGTGAGTCAGAATCGACTTGCCGGCACTGAACAACATGATATGGAGAAATCTTCATGATGAAATATTAGCCACAAAAAAGGTAAAGCACTTCAAATTTTGTTGTGTTAAAAGTGTTTATTAATGACTGGGAACACAAAGCCAAGACACACCTTGATAAAAAGTGATCATTGATAAGGGAAGATAGAATGGTGGAGTCCAGGGAAGCAAGGAAGGAACATGAAGAAACATGGCATGCTGAAAATTGTCTATATGAGGATAATGTATGTTGTTGCTGTTAAGCACTGTCAAGTCAGTTCCAACTCATAAAGCTCCTGTATAGGGTTTCTGAGGAGCAGCTAGTAGGTTTGAACCACAAATCCTGTGGTTAGCAATCCAGTGCTTATCCTACAGCACCACACCACGGCTCCAGGATAATGTAAACATATGTGAGAAGTTCACAGGGCTATAGAGAATCTGCTGTCATTGTTAGATGCTGTTGAGTCAATTCCAACTTACAATGATCCTACAAAGGGTTTCTGAGAAATGATTGGTAGGTTTACACCACCAATTTTGCAGTAAACAGTCCAGTGCTAATCCTACAGCACCAAACCAGGACTCTGTTGTTATTGTTAAGCATCTTCCAG